GTAGTAGTAGTAGTAGTAGGAGTAGTAGTAGTAGTAGTAGTAGTAGTAGTACAACAACAACAACTACTACTACTACTACTACTACTAGTACTAGTACTACTAGTACTGGTAGCAGTACCACCCCGTACCCGACCATGAAGGACTATGCTGAAGATACGCTGGCCCTGGAAGTCACACTAACCCTGTGCAAGAGGCCCACCTTACGCCTTGCGCACTCTCAATGTCAGCGCAGGCGCTGCGTGGCGTCTCGGTGAAAGCTCGGTTTCGCGGTGAAGCCTGGCTGGGTGCTGTACTCCGATCCTTGCTCGCGCGCCTCTCCCCCTGGGTGCCGGGCCGGCCCCGCAAGGGAACCCTGAGACTGCATCGACTGCAGGCTGCGCATGGATCGCGTAGACTGAGGCTCCTGGCAACGTGGAGCTGGACTCTAATCTTCCGCTGTGTCTGTGCCTTTTCGCGGGCATGTTGGTGCTACGCACTCTGCGGTGCTTTGAGGAGACGGCTGCTATTTCGCTATCTATCTATTCTTTCCTTCCGTCCTTCTGGCAAGTTTTCCTTTATTACCTCTCAGCCTTTCCAGCGCCAGGCTTCAGAGCCTCTCATTCTATCGCTCGGGAACACTTTCCTCCGAGTCACACGAAGTGATTACGGACTAATGCAAAACGAGGCAAGCGTCAGAAACCATTCGTCTAGAGTGCAAATTTGCATGGCCTTTAATAGGGCCTAGGCCATTCCCTGCTTCTTCTCTTCAATGAAATTTCAGCACGGGTTCACGATGCTTTCCCTTGCTGACAGATATAACGGTTACGGCCCTATCGGCCTCCCTTGAAGCGAACCCCAGACCCCCCGGAAAAGGCTCCATGGCAAGACCCGGCTTCGGTTCCGCCTTCGTCTCCTCCTGGCTGCCTCGTGGCTGCACTCTGGCAGTGAAAACCCTAAACTCGAAGCAAGACACTCTAACGAATGCGTGAGACCGAACGAGGCCGGAGCTGAAGTCCAAACGCCTGGCGATGCCTCTTTGCGAAAACAGCTTCTGCGCTGAAAAAGGGGAAAGACGGTTTCCGACGCTCGCACTCGGACAATCCAGGCGAGGCATGTGGTCTTGGGTCGGCTGAGGTGAAACTAGATGAAGGTTTTGGGTTTAGCCTAGCTTTGATCCGATGCAACTTCAGCGGTTGAGCTTAGAGGCTTGCCCGGAGAGCTTAGGAATACTCGTAGCATGCAGCACTCTGAACGGGTCATGGCCTGAAGGACCCGTGGGTGAGCGCAGCCGCATGGACCCGGCTTCCTAAAAAGCAGATCGACTGGACTCCTTCTCGGTGTAAGTTTCCGCAACATGTGTATAGGCACACGCAAGTGATGAAGTTGCAAACAACATCCAAAGCACCCATGACAGACAAAGCCCCTGCCGCTTAAATGTCAGGGCTCTGATGCCAAGGAGACCGTGGAGCCGCGCTGGCTGCGCGCCGAGCGAGGAGTCCTTAACCAGCATCACGATTTGTGAGTTTGCTGCTCTCGGACGTCCGGTGGCTCGAGCTAGACACTCGCAGCGGGATGAAGCCTGTGTTCTGCGAGTCCGTGCCTGACTCCCTGCATTTTCAACCCGCAACACTCTGCCCGCACCCATTCCCTTCGCACAGCTGCGACAATCCGCCGAAGCAACATGAAAGCCACATAGAGCCATGAAGTGCAAAGCCCCAGCGGCATCGTCATTGTGGACGCCTTTCGCACTGGCTCTGGAGGCTCCGCTACCTGGGGGCCTCCTTGGCGATGAGTGCCTCTCGCTGGCCCCGTGTTTGCGCAAACAATCAAGAACTTGGCACTGCAGCGCGAGACTTGACGGTACCAAGCAATGAAACCAGGCTGAACCGATAAGCATTGCAGGGGATATCTGTTGCACTGCGGCCTGACATTGTTAAAGATGATATGGATGAACCAGACTGCAACACGCTGTTGTGATCTCTGTCATCTACCATTTAGTCGCAACTGAGCAGTTCATCTTCCAAACCCGGTTCACAGCTGGCACCAACCTGTGTAGGTGCTTTGCTCATAGAAGAATCGTTCGGGGCCATAACCTGTCAATGCTGTCAGAGCAGTCACTCATCAACAGGTTTTGAGCCCTCGGGATGCGGCAGCTGCGAGCTCATTCGTTGCTGCGTCAATGGTCGGACGATATTGGTATACAGTAAACATATGACATATGTTCTATCTATCTATCGATCTATCTATCTATGGACGCATATAACCATATACAGGCACATACACCCAAATACACAGACAGAGTACACACACACACAATGCGTGCTATGCCGCTGCCATGCTCGCGCGTTTCGATGGTGTGCACCCAACCTCTATGCTGGCGAGGGGCGGGTGTTGTCCTCCGCAGATTCCCCTGCGATGGTTCCTCGGGCAGCGTCTAGTCTTCTCGACTACGTTGACGCCCGAGCTTCGAACAGAACAAAGTGAATCACTAAGCAACATGCTTGACATCATGCCTTCGTCCTGAGTGCGGGTGAATTCGAGGACTCAGCTGGGCCCGGCACTTCTTCGAGGTGAGTCGCCCACCGGGGAGACCAGCTTGAAGCCTTGGACAGCGCTTCGTTAAGCGTTTACTCGGGGTCTTTGACTATCACTTGGATGGAGTCCAAGGTGAACCCAGTGACGCTCTCGCTTTCGAGTTCGACCAGGCTTGCACACAGCCGCCCCGTACAAACCCTTGCCGGAATCTTCTCGGTAGAAATCCGACGACTAAGGCCTTTCGAGTTCCGGAAGAAATGCCGGAATCAACCTTTTCGAGGGGCTGTTGTAAACGCCACTGGCCCGAGGCGTCATCGATGTAGAAGCTGCCCGGGCCCGAGGGGATAGAGAAGCCACAGAGGCCGAGCGACCTCGTCGCCGAATGCCATCAGATCATCAGCAGATACGAAAGGGTTTCCGGTGAGAGTACTGACGCGTTTCGCTAGGGAGGGCGGAGGGTGTTTTTCGGAATGCTGGCCGTCCCTCGTGTCCTTTGCCGACGTTGGCTCGCTTTTTTGGTTGCAAATACCGTGACCTCCAGCATGTGCTGCTTGTTTGCATCAAGCTAGTGGAGAGATACAATTGCAGGGTCCTGTTCTGCCCCAAGCTATTGGGGAAGTACAGTTGGCAGGGTCTTGCTTGGCATCAAGCTTTCGAAGAATTACATTTTGCAGGGTCCTGTTTTGTGTCAAGGAATTGGGGGTTTTGCGTCAAGCTATTTGGAAATTGCAGTTTGCAGGGTCTTGCATTACATCAAGGTATTTGGGAATCACAATTTGCAAGGTCTTCTTTAAGCCCCAAGCTATTCGGCTCTCACTCTCGCACGCACCAGGCAGGGATCCTCACAAATATTGGGGTATAACAATGTCGAGGCTCATGTCTTGTGTCAAGCTATTGAGGAATTACAATTTGCAAGGTTCTGTTTTGCAAGCTATTGGGAGATTACAGCTCCGGTTCGTCCTATTTCTTAAACACGCCAACTCGTTTGTCGATTCCGGTTTGTCACGTTAAGCCGTTAAGCACGCCCCTTCATGTGGCGATTCTGGCTCATCAGATATCTTAAACACGCCCCTCATGTGGCGATTCCGGTTCATCATATATCTTAAACACGCTCGCCCCCGTCCCCAGGGTGATTCCGGTTCATCATACTTCTTAAACACGACCCTTCATGTCGCGATTCCGGTTCATCTTACATCTATCTTCAACACACCCCTCCTATGGCGCTCCGGATCATCATAATACATCGTAAACACGCTCCTCATGTGGCGATTCCGGTTCATCATATTTCTTAAACATGCCACCTCCCCCCATTGAGCGAGACGAGTTAATCATAAATTCTAAACCTGCTCCTCATTTGGCGATCCAGGTTCATCACACGTCTTAAACAAGTCCACTCACTTGGCGATTCAGGTTCATCACATACCTTAAATCTTGAACATGCCCCCTCATAGTTTATCTTGAACACGCCCGCTCATTTGCCAATGCTGATTCTGCACTTCTGCTAAGCTGCTAAACCCGCCCCCAGATTTTCACGGACCCACAGCCCAGGCACGGTAAAACAAAGAGCAGGGCGGTTGGGAGCACAACCATTTGCAACCGCAATGTCTGTATTGTCTGTATCAGTGGTTTCGAAAGGATCTACATCCGTGCTGCATTTGCTGGCAGTATGTGATTTTGAAACGACCTTGCGAGACAGCTGGGTGGGGGGTTGACGAAGCGGCGCAAGACACGGACAGGGAGCGTGTTGTTTGTCAAGCATTGCGGATGATGTCCTGATGCATGCATGGGGAAGCGTTCTAATGTGTCAACCAGCATGGTTCGTGCGAAAACGGGAGAGGGCAAACGTGGCTTTGCATTCCACGCGCAGACATGTGTACTCAGGCGGTTTTGTTGAGCATATATCTTAAATGCGCCAAATCATTTGTCGATTCCAGTTCAGCATGTATCTTAAACAGGCCCCTTTATTTGGCGATTCCGGTTCATCATACTTCTTAAACACGCTCCGGCGATTCCGATTCATCATAAAATATCTCAAGCACACCCCCTCATGTGGCGATTCCGACTCATCATAGTATATCTTAAATACGCCCCCCTCCCTCCATACTGGGGAATGTGTTTGCTGGCACTGTCAGAGTGGAAGAGACGAGTCGCTTCGAGCACTCCGAGGGGAAGGATCCCGCAAGATCTGCGTAACCACCTCCTCGCAAACGATTCGGCGACACTCATGCATTTAGAGAAATGCTGGGCAGTGCTGGTGCGTGTGCCAATGCTCCTGGCCCGCCAGCAAAGGTTCGGTACTGTGTCAACTGCTTCGGAACGATTCGGTCAAACATGCCTGAAACTCGCAAATGCCGGCAACGATGCGAGCCTTGTATGCTGCGAAACCTTAAGGCTCTTCTATGCACTAGGCACCTGCAGGACTCCCACAACAAAGACTCTCCCTCCAACAACAGCTAGACCGGCTAGACCGTTTGAAGGACGTTGCGGGCCATGGAGCCAGTTGGAGCACAACCCGATCACAAAGAAGCAAGTCCTTTTCCACAGTGGTCGGCGACCCGTTCTTGTGAACGCCGGTGTAAGTTTTCTGGTCGTAGAAGAAACGCTCAGGGCCATACCTTGCTTCAGGAACTGCCAGCGCTCATCACGAAACCCCTGTGTTTCGGTCCTCAGCTCCCATGCCTGGACCCTTCGGCCAGCACCTCCAAGCCTCCTGAACCCACTCCCGTCCCAGGCGGGGCGCCGCCGTTGCTCCTTGGGAGTGTCGATGGCGGTTTCAATCTGCAAAGACGCGAGGCCTGGTCAAGAGAAGTTTCACTGTGCTCCTAACGGGCCTCAAACTTACATCTGTCCCCTGCATTCCCTCGCATGCGGATTAACTATAAACGCTGCCAGTGTTAAATTCAGCTTTCAACTAAGGCATGTGCTGCACTGCTCCCCCGAATATTCGTTTCTGTCACCCAGGTCGACTGGAGTTGCACCCCAAACACTCAGCCCCTTTGCACCCTCACGTGACCCGCGAAGCGTTCACTAGAAACGGACGAGTGCTTAGACACGATGGAACCAGCCAATCTGATGCAAACACAAGGAAGCTAGGCTGCTGGCGCTGGCTCAACCTGCTTGCAGAGCTGGCCCTCCTGCAAAATCTGATATGGCTCGGTGTGCACATCTCGCGTGTTGAGGACTTGAGTTCTCTAGGGTTCTGTTTTCAACAGGCAGCCTCTTTTACTGCCGGCCCCGTTGACCGCAACAGTGTACAAACAGTCTGTTCAACATGGTCTCAGGCGCCTGGGGACAGGACAGGTCGGCTATTCGCAATTCACCTCTTCCTCCTGGCTGCATTAATTCGGAAGCACAATCCTCCCTCTATTACCCACCATCTCCCTCCAGAGTCCGACGAATTCCAAGTTTTCCCAGCTGCTTATGTACTCGCGGCCTCCCGGAGGTGGGAGGCGCATCAGAGGCCTAGCAGCTGCGTTGCGAAAAGATGCGCAGCCAGTTTCGACTGACAGACTAACTTCTCCGCCGTGGGGCGAGGGGTTTGGCGCAAAGCCCTTAGCCCCATAGTCTCATTATTCTATCTTTCCAAATCAATCCAAAGCTCTGGGTACACCCAGTCTACACCTGATACCGTGCCAAGAGACTGGTGGCGAGGCAGTCAGTGAGCCGGCTTCGACGGCTCCGGGAAGTGACCCCACCGGTGCACCCTCGGTGTTGGCCACTCGGCCAGCTTCTATGGCTGAGAGTTTGAGGTTCAGGATGAGTCAGCGGCAACCCTGGGGGGGCCAGCCAAGGAGGCTGTTGTGACATACATGCCCATGTGTGTGTGTGTGTGTGTGTATGTATGTGGTATGCATTGGCCAACTGCACTGAGATGCTTGGCTGCATATATGTGCACGCCAACCAGCGCAGTTGCCACTACAACAACTACGGCTGTACAGCCGCGACAGAAACGACAACGCGACAAACAGCTGCCACCACTACCTCTACAGCCGGCACTGAAAGAACCAATGACGACGACGGCGACGAAGAAGACTGGCAATTATGACGGCACTTGTCGTCAGTATTGCTTTCTGCTTGTGGCCATTCCGGTCATTGCTGCTATGGTGATGGTGCTTACGTTTGTTGCCACTCCTTTCTGTATTCTGCGTGTACAGCTACATAACAGAAAATAAATGAACACTTGACGACACACACGAACAACTAAGTTAACCAGACCTTGTATACATTTTGCATTCGTTTGCAGATCATAGTTATACAGTTATACATACATACGCATGAAGTCTCTCTCAATGTCGTTTGCAGGGGCACCGGCCAAGAGACACTGCAGCCCTGTCTAGCTAACTGCATCATGACTTGTAACTCAACACGTACACCTTCTGCCAAGTCTCTGAGTCTGCCTTCTGTGCAGGCCGCCCCCATGCTTTAAGCACGCCTGAAGCATCCAAGCCCAACAACCCTAAATGGCACGTGTTGCCACCTCACAGACTTGGCACAGCACACCTTACATTCTTCCTACACCTCGCAAATCCTTACGCAGCATGCGCGAAGAGCTTGAATTGCTACAGTAAACCCATCGCCATGGGCTTTTCGTTCCGATTGTTGATTGGCTTGCCCCGACTCACTCCAGTTCTGTGTCGCACGCGCTGTGGAACTTGCGCCCTGTCTCTCTCTGTATGTCTACCGTGTGTTTGTTTGCTTGAACCCTGCAGGCCTCTGGCCAGTGGGACATTGCACACGCCGGAATCAAACTCCGACTCGTAGAAGAGCTTTTGCACATCGCGCAGCTGCTCACCTCTCCGTAGTGCAGGGGGATCTGCCATGACTGCCATGACCAAACTATCTTAAGGCGTGAAAGCCCACTGTTCATCGTGAAGTGGTCCCGATAATGCCGAGGCCCTGGCCGAAGCTTTGACCCTGACAAAGGCGCTGGGCGTCCCAAAGCCCGTCCTGGCCTGTTCCAGTCTTGCTCTGTGAACTTTAGGGAACGAATTGTGGCCCACATCATTCAGAGCACTTCAGGGTAGAAGCGGGCCACACCTCGATATGCGAACAAGGTAGGCTTGTGGTGATGTGAGCTCTGAATCTTCCCTGTGCAGTGTACCGAAAAGTACGACGCCCCACCACAGCATTCGCACATGCCATGAAGCACGCCCAACCTCGCGACATTGCGATTTGCCAGGCTGCAACGGAGCTTCCAACTCAGACTGTAACCCAACAGCACAGAGGGCCAAACGAGTTTCAAGGCCGAGGTTCGCTTAACATCGCGTCAAATCAAACCTCGTAAAACTCTGTTCATTTCTGTTCTCACAGGAGACTTGCTGTAACGGAAGAACAGGAGACCCTGAACACCGTCTGGCGAAACACCTGGCTTATACACATCCACAGAAAAGTGGTGTGTATATTTGTGCATTTATACATATATACACACATGTAGTTAGATAGATAGATAGATCGATAGATAGATAGATACATAGCATACCATTAGCATACCTACCCTTTCCTGCCTATCGATCGATTGATCGACCCAGCCAGGTAGCCCCACCCACCCATATCTATCCATCTACTTGCATCTCTAACCGTATGCGTGCATGCATCTATGCACATGCACATGCATGCATGCATACATCCATTAGTGAGCGACGTCCCACAGAAGATTCGAGATGCTGAACGTGCCTCCAGGCATGGAGGGCTTGCCAACGTGTCTCCGCTCTACGGAAGAGCACTGAGCAAGTGTTGAGGATGTTTTTGTCAAAGCAATGCTTTCGTGTGCGATGCTAGATGCCTGGCTTTCGATCACTGATTCGGGAGGATGTGTTGGCTGACAAATCCTTTCTCCATAGGCAGGAAAGAATGGACAATTGGAGGGTCAGAATTTCTGGATCGATGCTTTCCGCGCTTCTGGCTGGCAGTTTACTGTAAAGTTCGCATGTGGGCCACATGCCACACAAGAGCCGAAGCAGCAGCGCAGTGGCCAATCTCGAATTATTTCAGGCACGGTGGCTAGAGTCTTGCAGCACAAGTGCGCTCCCAGAACCGGCTTCCAGGCTGCAGCAATTCAGTCTTCAGAGTTGGAGTATGCTTGGGAGTATGCAAAGCTCACGAGCCTTGCTGCAAGATCGGAACGAAGATTGGCAACACGCTGCGCCTGGGACGGATATCGGGTGCCGCAGATTCCGGCTGTGTGCAGCAGGGAGTCTGGGTCGAATCGCAGATGAACAGCTAGGCCCTACAGACACGCGGGAAGGCGTGTGGCAGTCGTCTGATATCGTCGAAGGCATCAATCCGAAAGAAGCTTGCATGCCCTCGAACCAACAGCCTCTGCTTCCACTTGCTGCTTCAGCTGCCGCAGTGTGACGGCCTGCCACAGAAAGCAGGTCCAACATCTCTTTGTTTGTGGCTAGCATCTTGCAGTGTGCATCGCCGTGTTTGTGCCGATGCCGCATGATATTTGGCTGCAAGATTTCGACAGGAACGGGCTCCACACGAGTTTCGACAGCTCAGGATTCATGGACAACAACTCCCGAAGCTCGGCGCCAAGGCAAGGGACCTTTTTTCGCCTGCTAAAAATCCAAGCACCCACGGTGCCAACTGCGAGCCGTAACTTCACGTAGCTGCGAGCCACCTGTGAGCCGCCAAGGGAAAGAATAGGCCCGGCCAGGACACCTTGTGCCTCGTTTCAGTGTCAAGGCTCTAAGGGACTTAGGCGTGGTAACATGTGGTGACTTCATAGGCTGCGAAGGCAGACCGACAAAGCTCCAAGAACTCCGACCAGCTTCTGCTGTGTCAGCACCCCTGTACGATCCAGGCCTCAGTTGAAGAAGTAGCTGGAAAAGAGCACGGACAGGATGCAGATCAAGAGGAGCCCCCAGTACAAGGAGGTACGGTTCAGTTCCACCTGAGAACTCATGGCTGAACTGTGCCAGCGGCCGCAGAGTCAGCAAGACTGGTGACACAACACCTAAACGGGACGCCACTTTCCGGGGCTTAACTTTAACATGCCCGAACTCCTACTGCACTGAGCTGAGAGGATGGTCCCTGTTCTCAGTGCAACCGTTCAAAATGGCCCCGACACACAACTCGAAGACTACTGCAGACATGAAGACGGCGAAGCAGCAGCTTCAAATCCTGTTGATAAGAGGACAGGTATTGTTTGCCTCCCTCTGCGACGGAGATAGGGAAGCGGTCTTTGAGTCAGCATGCGAACGTGTTCATCGCCAGGATCCGCCAGATCCTTTCTCTGCACGTGTCTCTGTTTTTTGTTCATGATCAAGAAATATGATATAGTGCAGCAATTTTTCACACTCGCACTCGGGCAAAGCCAGGCAAGGTCTGCAGACAATACTGGAACAATTGCATTGTACCATGTTGTACCGTGTAAGGCAACATAACGCGAGCGCATTAGTGATCAACATCGCTTGTCTTCGAAAACAGCATAGCGGCATAGCATGAAATAACAAACTGCTGCATAATCAACGAAGCAAGCTGCAACAGTATCTTGAACTACACCACACCAAACCAGAACCCACCTTAACACAACCTAGCTTACGTAACCTAACCCAACATAATACTTTGTGCGTTTCGCTACATTACATTATGTTTCGTTGTGATATGCAATGTTATTGTGTGCGATGTTATATTACAGTGCATAATCTGACCAGGTGACGATTTGTAAATATACGGACACTAAAGCAGACCGCAGAGCGAGTGTCCCGAACGTGCTTTCGACCAGCGAGGCAACACCGAACATCACCTCATCCATCCATTCATCCGGTCATCCATCCATTCATGCATCCAGGGATTCAGAAACATGACCAAGCTCGAATCGCCGCAGCACCACACAATGCTTCCCCCCATGCACCAGCAGTATTAAGAAGGTCCGTTCCGGAGGTATTCCAGAAGGAGGTAGGTCGATGACTTTGTGCCAATCCCTCCCCCGACCCTCGCAGCCATCATCTTCCAAGGTGCAGGGAGCATGGCGTCGTTGGGGCGCGGCTCTGGCAAGGCCTGTGCAGCAGTTCCGTCACAGTTCGCTTCGTGGCCCAAGGCTGGAGCCCCTGCCTCGACAAGGACCATAGGAGCCCGCGTCTCGATCTCAATGCCGGCCAAGGATCCTTCTCAGGGATTGCATGGATTGGGTTGACTGCTCCCTGTTGACATTGGTAAACAATATGAATGTCGCACATGCACATGTGAAATCACCACATGTAGTGCTCCTAGCCCAGCACAGTGTGTCAAAGCAATGCTGCTACCGCTACTGGGCTTGGCGGCATGACAGACTTCAGATTTCCACATGTGATATTGTTGTGTCTTCATTGTCCAATGCTACGCAGGTAAACCATTCACAACATGGGCCAAGGACGCGGCATGGCTACCCCAAACAACGAAGTTGCTAAACCCATGAAACCCTTAACAGCTCCTTCGGTGGCTGTACCGCGCAGGGCAGGCACCGGCGAGGACGGAGCCATGAAGGCAGCCGGGAGCATCCACACGGCGGCCACCAGTGCCAGAGTGCCTTGGCCGGGCTTCGAAGTGGATGCTTCGCTGCAAGCAGGCATTGGGGTGGTCAATATGCGCAACGTCAACATGGACCTATCTGTCTACCTGTCTGATATATTGATTCCCCAAACAGGTACGGTTTGGGGTTCTCTCCTCACAAAAGAGGTGGGCCGCGGTGGCTGGATGGGTGGGCCGCGGCGACGGAGCTGGGCTTTCATTGGGCTCCCTTCACGTTTCCTTACCTGGCTCCTCGGACGAGGTGCTGCGGTGCCGCCCCCGAGCCTGCCCCCCCACCGAGCCCTTTGTTCCCTTGCTTCCTGTCGTTGACCTAGCTACTTCTAGCACGGGGCAGGGGGCGCAAAGGGGCGTGGCTAGGCTTTGCCGTGTCTTCCTGCCTGTTCGGTTTGCAGGGGAACTAACTGGTCACAAGGACATAAAAGACCGCAGGGGTTCTCGCAAGGAGCGTTTAATTAGAATGTGCGTTTAACCCACGCCTGCCAGCAAATTTCAGCAATGTGTATTTATGCTTGTTAAAGGAACTATGTGGGATCATCTTGCTTTGAAACTTAGGGCGTTGCTGTAAAT